ATGCAGAGGCTCACAGAGGACCCGTAGGTACCATTTGGGCACCACGTCCTCACTGGGGGTGTGTGTGTGCAGAGGCTCACAGAGGACTAGTAGGTACCATTTGGGCACCACATCCTCACTTGGGGGGGTATGCAGAGGCTCAAAAAGGACTCGTGACTCGGTCCAGGTGATTTTGCAAGTGAATGGAAAAATGAGACTGGCACTAAGCTGAGTACCCTCAGAGCGCACGCTAGCTCTCCCAAGAGCCGCCTCATAAAGGCGAAGTCCATGTTCTGTGTTAGCTCAGGTAAGCTTCCTTCTCCAAGGCCTCATTCAGAGGCTGTTCCTTCCATCAGCTCTGTTTGGACCTTAATAGTTCTGTGCATAGGAGGGTGGTGAGGCCCTTCTTGAGTCACTTTATAGATTTATTAGTGTGCATTTTGCATGGATTTTTAAATGCAGTGTCTATTAACTATTAAGCAAGTTCCAAAATTACCATAAAATCAGTCATTTTCTTTCTGTTTTAATAAGATGGACTTATTTTAATGTCACACTTAAGATATTTTACATAAAGAGTTCTTCCTGAAATTATGATGCATCAGTTTGCAATTAAAAGCACAAAGCCAGTGATACTTGAAGAGTATATAACATCATGATATGAGTCATGTTTTATTATTTGTACTGAAGGGACTGAAGAACAGTTATTATTGATTTATAAAGGGAGAGCTGATTAAGGAACATTCGGCCAGCCCTGTGACGACATTGGAATTTTTAATTGCTGAACTATTGTATTGGCTGTGTAGTATCTCTTAGATAGTTTCATGATTGCCTAAAATTATCCTGGTCTGAATGTCATATCAAATTGGGAGGACAAAAGGAGTTTGAAAGGATAATGTTATCGAATGCTTTAATCCTAATTGCCATGTATTAATTTTTTCTCCTTTTTTTTGCTCCCCATAGGAGAAAAATTCAAAGTGGAAACAAGGACCATTGCTGTTGACTTTACATCAGAAGATATTTATGATAAAATTAAAACAGGCTTGGCAGGTCTTGAAATCGGTGTTTTAGGTTTGTATTTTTGCCACATTTATAAATTCTTGCATATATTACTTACTATGCCTTTATTTTCTCTACATACAGATATTAGGCATTTAGTGAATAATATAACTAGTCAGAAGAAAATTGTCTTATTAATACAATTGATCATTCAGTGATATTAGTCCATATGTGTTTGAATCTTCATGTTATGTATATATTAACTAATACTATACAACTTTCCGTTCTTTTCCTGACTGCTCTATTCCCATTCTCTTTCTTCCTATATATTCCTAGATAGCTGTAATACCCTTGAAGATAGTTGATATCAAGATATTTAGATTTAAAAACAATAAATAAAGAACACTTTTATTAGCCTTTGGTTTATTATGGCCTCCCTGAAAAATGTTTACGACACTTATTTCCTCCTAGTCTTAACCCCTCATGAAAAGTTTAATGCCATGACGCATTGTATATCGGTGCTTTGTACAGAAAAACCAGGATTGCTAGTCATACCAAATTCTGTTCCCTCTGGGGATCTGTACTTTAGCTGAAAACCCACGGTTTCCACAGGGTGATGCCCTAGGCACTTGAGAGGGAATGGCATAAGTCAGTGACCAGTGTGCTATGTGGTTTTTCCTAAGTCTTCTGTTCTTTGTCCCTCCTCATTTGTGTTAGCAAAAATGAGATAATGCAAGACATTAAACTTCGTTATGGAAAAGAGTCTCCAGAAAACATTAAGAGAAAAAAATGGCCTTTTATAAATTTCTCACAGTTCTTTGAGAGTCAATTCTAGAAATAGGGCCTCGAGTCCAGAAAAGCCGCTTCCGCACCAACTCCTTGTGTCCTGTTTCCTAAGTAGTGCAAACTAGGCAGCTGCTCTTGTTTACTTTATTGGCTCATAAAAGGAAAGTAAATGAAGAGGAAAAAATTTCTAATGTTTCCTAAAGTTTCTAGACTTAGAGACTCAACACCCCATGTTGTTAAAAATCAGTTATACATTGTAGGCCTAAATAGTACTGTGATATGTTTGGTTAGTCCTGGCTTTGTGCTCTCTCTCTCGTCCCTGTCCCCCATCTCCATGATCTCCGTACCCACAACTACTCCCTGGCTTACTGGAGAAGCACTGGGTAAATGATAGATGACAATTTTCAATGTTTCCTAAAATTTGTTTACTCATAGACTCAGCCACCTTTTCATCCTATAGTTTTTGCCTTTTATGTCTCCATGTTCTTTGCGAAATACATACATTATGAGAAGTCTTTCATAAGTTCTTCCTTGGTGTAGACCTGGGATCCTTTAAGTTCTGCTAACATCCATAAAAATCTTGGCTCTTTCTAACCTTCCAGAATAGCGGCTGTAATGTAGTAGTTAGTATAGACACTGCCGTGCTTTATCCCAGCCCCATGATGGACTAGGGCCCTGATAGTGAACCCATTAGAGCTTTCAGTGCTGTGGCACACGTGCCCCAGGTTTGCCACCACTGGACTAGGAAATGAAGCTGAGGTGGACAGGAAGGTGGCTTGAAGTCCCTTAGTGAAAGGTAACTGCAGGTGTCATTATTTGCCTTGAACTTGTGTTACTGGAGAATGACTTACTTTTAGAGGTACAATTCTTCACATTTGTTCTTAGCACTGTAAATTTTAGCTGTCATTCACTGGGGGACAGAGAAACTATAGATACTCTTGGATTAGAGACAGAAAGTGTTGGTCATCAGGTTGGTGCGAGCTCAGGGTTCTACAAGACACTCTTCAGCTGATCTTTCTTGACCCAGAACTGTGTACAGAAAGACTGAGGTTAGCCACACTGGATAGATCTGTTAAGAATTAGAGAGTACAGGAACGTGTTCCTCAAGTATCTTGTTGCTGTTTCTAGGATTCTGGCACTTACATAAAACATCGATATTTAGACATAAGGACTGCTGTTTTCCCAGGCCCTTTGTGCTGATGGTTCCACTGTTCTTATATTCTGGCTCCTTAGTTACATTGCTACGGTGGCTTGGTAGTTTGTACCCCTCTTCGTTCATTCATTTATTTATTTGTCAGTCAGTAAATTAGAGGTACAACAATGAACAAGGAAAGCATTGTTTTTGTACAGTGTTCTAGTAGGAAAGAACAGTGAACCAAACTGTTAGCTGCTGTGTTTGCAGAAGGACAGAGCAGATGAAAGCATAAATGGGATGGAGGAGCCAATAGAGGGAGAAAAATAGTGACTTGGGCTGGCCTATGGGTAGGAAAAGGGAGGATACCAGCAATGTGTAAGTACACGGAGCAGCATGTTGTGAGGGACACAGGCAGGATGAAGAAGGAGGGAGTCATGGCTTCCGGGTTCTGGCTGAAGCATCTGCACCAGTAAGATCATGTACTAAAATGAGGAGCCCTGGAGGAAAAGCCTGTCTGGACTTGAGTATGTTTAAGTTTGGGTTTTTTCTAGAATGTCCAAGGGGGACACGGGTGATGGGTGGGGCCTGTAGGCCCAGGCTTCCGGAGAGCTTTAGCCTGGAGTCCAGCTGGGAGGGAGATCGGTCACCTAAGAGGGTAATTTCCATGGAGAGAAGTGCGACTGGAGATTGCCCAAGGAGAACACAGAGGATGTGAAGAAAGATGGAGACAGCTCTTCCGAGTTCCCTTTGCTCTCATCAAAGGCCGCCTGGAATGGATAGCACAGAGGAGGCCTCCTTCCTTGTATGAGTTCAGTAGGCTCTAACAGGGCCCACATAAATAATAGGAATTTTTGTAGTAGCCACATTTTTAAAAAGAGTAAAAGAAACAGATGAAGCTAACTTTAATAATGTGTTTTATTGAACTTCCTATATCCAGGACATCACTTTAGCATGTAGTCAATAAAAATTTGTGTAAATACCTTGTCTCCTTTTTGCCCTATGAAGTCTTCAAAGTCTGCCATGTTGTCCTGCACTTGTAGCGCGTCTCAGTTCTGCCTGGGCCCGCATGTGCAGTGCTCGGTAGGCCTTGTGGCTCACGGCTGCGGCTCTGGACTGCGCCACTCTGCTATCCTGGCCAGCTCTCGTCTTCCATTTGTGTGACGGAGATAAATACAATTTCTAGATTTTTCCTATACTTTTAAAACAGCAGATCCCAACCAAGGGGCAATTGGGTAACATCTGGCAATATTCGGTGGCAGTATTGTCACCACGTGGACAGGCAGGGTGGGGGTCGTCATAGCCCCCAGTGGGCAAAGGCTAAGGGTGATGGTACGCATTCCACAGCTCAGAGGACAGACAGCCTTCCACAGTGACTGGCCTAAAATGTCACAGTGCTGTGGTGGAGAGGGCCAGCCTTAAGTCACTGTCATTAGCCAGCGCTCCTGGAGTACTTAGTGAAACATGCACAACTTTAGTTTCTACTTCTCGTTGGTTACAAATCAATAATAAAAATAATTGTAGCTTTCATAATCCTTGAGAATGTATAGTAGTATTGTCTTAGTTTCTTTTCTCATGACTGAGACAAAATACCGGACACCTAAGATAGAAGAAGGTTTATTTAGCTCACATTTGTAGAGATCTCAGTCCATCATCGGCTGGCTCCCAGGCTGGGTGGCATGGCAGAGAACACTTCATGGCCCCACAAAGCAGCGAAAGTAACCAGCTGTGTGTGTGTGTGTGTGTGTGTGTGTGTGTAATACAAGCCTCTTTCTGTCCCCTGTATTGTACCCAGGCTACTGGGATTAGGGCAATGCCAATCCAATCAGTGGGTTGATCCAGCAATCACCCACCCTTAATCCCAACACTGCAGTGCTAGTCAGTCACGCACTCGAGAGCCCAGGAGGGAGAGCCCTCCAACCACCTGACGCTTCGGGGGCAGAGGTAGACACAAGCCCTAATACAGTACCTTCATGGACATATCTTACTCGGTGGGGTCTAGGTTCGGTTTTCCTTGTGCACTGCATTTTATGTTTCTACTAGGTCATATTTCAACTTGAATCTTAGTTCCTTCCTGGTGTGGGTATAATTCTAGAGCTTGTGAGGAGAGGCTGGTGGTATACATGTTTTCTTTCTGGTTACCTGTTTTTTTATTCATTTATTTTTTGGCAGAACCAGGGATTGAACTCAGGCCCTTGGACTTGCCAGGCAAGCGCTTATTCTACTGAGCTATCTCCCCAGCACCTTGGTTACCTGTTTTTAGCTCCTTCAGTTTTTGTCCTTTTTCCTCTATCCCCCTTCAGATTCCACATACTTCTCCCTGCCCTTTTCCGGTCAAGCCTGAATCATCTCATTTAAACCTTACCTTTATAGTTGTACTGTATGTAGCTTCTGCTGTATTGACCTAGCAATCCATAAGAAGTCATAGGAAAAAATTATTTTCTACTGAATTTTAAACTAGTGATGATAAAAAGAGAAATAAATTTCCAATATATGCTCAATTTATTTGAATAGTGTTAAGCATAAGACTAAATTCATTGCTTAATAAAGCAAATTAGTATTTTCAGAATTACAAAGGAAAATGCTAAAGCCCTTTGTCACGAAAGAAACATTGTTTTCAATGAGATAATTGGAAAGAAAATAGCCCCAAATTATGTGAATTTATCCTGAAAGGTCACCATGACTTGATGAGACTATAAATGCTGAAGGTTGAGAAGTTGGATTCTTAATGCTATTGTGTGAGAAAAAGTAAGCATCTGCTGTCTTCTTTCAGGCGAATGCCAAAAAGTAGAGATTTCAGCAAGCTTATGAAGCTTCAGCTATTTAGGAAAAATGACACCCGCACTTCTTTGAATAGGAAAATAATTGGTTAACACAGTGTAATTGCCGAAATGCTTGCTGCATCCGCAGGAAGGACTCATCTGTGCTTCAGATTGCTCTGGAGCACCTCGCGCGATGTGTCACAGGGAGGTGTCCTTCACCAAGGCTGTGGGAGTAGCCTTGGATTTGAAATACACCCCAGACAGTGCTTCTTTCGAATTTCACCACTGTGACTTTTCAACTTTATAAAAGTGAGATTATTCTCAAAGAAAAATCATGGTTCCTTAATTTGTGGTCCTTTTTGTAAAAAAAAAAATGAACCACACCTCTATTT